ACTAGACAATAATCCAAAATTAGTGTACACAGCACGATTAACGACAGAGGATCACTCCAACACCTCATACACAACATCTTCAGGAATCACTCCACCAATCAATGAAAATTGAAGAAATCCGTTTGGAACTTTTCAATTTGACTGCATTCAATTATTGTCCACTTTGCCCAACTGACCCCTACTTTTTGCAATCACAGTCACATAGCGTCCACTAGCGACAACTGACGTGTTAAGGCGAAGCTGAGACTATTTTAAAAATGTATCTTTTACTAATATCCTGCTTGTTCTAAAGCAGTACTTAAAACTGACTTCCCAGTTTAAGTTCCTTCGAATTAATCTTGAAACAAGTTTTCTTTTATCATCATCTCTAAACTATTAATGGCCCGACTGGTGGGGCTCAATTCTTCCCTATGGATGGAATCGAACCAAATCAAATAGGGAGAATAGACCACGCGGTCCCACCACGCGGACCCACCACGCGGTCTCAGTGCGAATTGGTGGATATACACATGCAGCTGGGATATTTTCCTTTATTGTATTCTGGGCACATTTTAAAAATAAAAATATATGAATTTTCTCAAACATTAAATTAAACTATTAATGGCCCGACTGGTGGGGCTCAATTCTTCCCTATGGATGGAATCGAACCAAATCAAATAGGGAGAATAGACCACGCGGTCCCACCACGCGGACCCACCACGCGGTCTCAGTGCGAATTGGTGGATATACACATGCAGCTGGGATATTTTCCTTTATTGTATTCTGGGCACATTTTAAAAATAAAAATATATGAATTTTCTCAAACATTAAATTAAACTATTAATGGCCCGACTGGTGGGGCTCAATTCTTCCCTATGGATGGAATCGAACCAAATCAAATAGGGAGAATAGACCACGCGGTCCCACCACGCGGACCCACCACGCGGTCCCACTGCGAATTGGTGGATATACACATGCAGCTGGGATATTTTCCTTTATTGTATTCTGGGCACATTTTAAAAATAAAAATATATGAATTTTCTGAAACATTAAATTAAATTAGAAGCGCTACTCTAATTTAATTTAATGTTTCAGAAAATATACTAGGCATGGAGTAAAGAACCCAATATAGTGATTAAAATTTAAACATTTTTTAATTTCCCTACTGGTGGAGCATAAGGTTTCGTATTGAATCACATAGTGTGACTTTGTATGTGTTCCGCTGTACTTATATATATTCGGGATAAATGAAGTGACGTGCTCTTAATAAAAATATTTAAAAAAGATCCACTGTCCCTGGCACTCTGATATGGGAATCAACATGCTTTCAGACGCACGAAGAAAGCATGAGATAATAAGTATTTGGCCACCTAGCTTGACTAGCAGAACGCGCTAACGAGTGACTACGTGCGCACTATGGAGCTCGTACACTATCCATTTCATAACTAACACCCGAGGTTCGCAAAATGACGCCCAGTTATGAAATTTGTAACCGATTCGTGGTTATTTTAGCGCCTCTCGAGCTGTAATGTGAGTTTGTTTACGTTCGAGACAGATCAAAAGAAACTGTATGACGTTGGCAACATTAAATAAGTATGGAGAAAAAAATAGGCGATTGCAAATAACTCCAAGAGCACGGTCAAGGCTGGAGACGAATCAAAAGAATATTCAAATATGTATTGAATCAGTGATTGTGGGACATACGATATGATATTGCAGGGATGTCGTGGATTAGGTATTATCACCTTAGCTGCAAATAATTTATAAATACTAATACCGTGTTCAGTAACTGAAACACTTTGTTATGTGGAAACTTGAAATAATGAAAGTAACATAACCACCCAGTTCCCGAAACTTAAGAGATGACGGCATATTAAAATCAGCCACTCTGCTACATGAAATATTGCTAGAGCAGTATACGTTTATTTTAGAAATGTGTACACGTCGATAAGTTTGAATGCAATCTTTATCCTTTGGAACCGGCTCAGAGCCAAAGAGCGTAGTGTATTTATTCTGTTTATATCAATCCTATCATTACTAGTATGCGATTATTCCTTAGAACTTATTTTGAAATATTTAAGCTATAAAGTATAAACGTGTAATTTGGCAGTGTGCCAGTTTTAGGCGTATATTAGTTACATTGAACGCGCAGTTTGTAGAAGTGTGGAGAACCGAGAGACACACATACTCTCTGCGGAAAGAGTTCAAAGATTTTTTTGTGTAAAGTGAAATCCGTGACGTCTTTGGCAGCACATGTTCTATTTATGTGAAAAAAAATGAGATTTAAATTTATAAGTATATTGGTAATAAAAAGACAGAAGTATATCTTATTCACCATTAATTTTGCACTGAATTTATCTAAAATAAAGATTAATATCAATTTGCCAATGATAGAGACACATTACAATATAATACGACACGTTAGAAAATATTACCCTTAAACACTCCATATAAAGAGATCCAAAGCAATACACAGTAACGTTGTTTTAATTTAATAACGCTCAGCCCACGGCAGATGGACAAACAAGAGCGCGACAGCCCTCGGGACTCCCCGGCCTTTATATAAGGAACACCAAGAAATACGGCCTCATACCTTCACGCTCCAGGACGTGAGACGTACTCGACAAAAAAATAAGCAAACATATTATTCCTAGTGCCAAAAATGTGATTAAGTCTAACGCCGTACAGGATTCAAGTAAGTTACATTTTTGATCAAAAATATATTTAATTTGTTTCGATTGTACTACAATAATTTGATTCTTAATGAAAAACAATAATTTTGTAGAATTTTATCTAGAGTATTTTCAATGGAGCCACATCAGGTTACTACAAAAGCCCAAACATAGCAATTTTAAATTTAATAATAAACACATTAAGACTAGAGTTAAGTGACCTGACATTTTGTTAACAGCACCATTATTTGCCACTCGTGCCCAGTATCGCGACTATAAATTTAACCGCGATTGATAGCATAATGTGCTTTTTAAAGCATGAAGATACGACGAAGAACGTAGGAAGTAGTCTAACACTCGTATCTATAGTCGAAAGAAGCAATTACTTAAGAAAATATTTTTAACCAATAGATGAAAATTTGAAGAACTGTCAATAGCTAATAATAATAGTATTATATTTATAAATAGTTCTTACTTTATCCAAAATTAAAAGAAATCATGTGAAATACTTTTTTAAAGCTTGATATTTCAGTATGTTAAAGTAACTGGTGGCTGCGGGACAATATAAATTGCGAAAAATCATAGCACATATTAAAGGTGCTTTTTATTAGGTTAAAATTAACTTAACTGCTCAGATTGTACCATCAAATTAAATCAAAATTATTAATTTAGTCTAGACTGTTACAAGCACTTAAGAAAGTGGCGGGCTACGCCATCGGTACGTAAAGCTACGGCGGGAGACCTTGTACCGAGAAGAACCGCCAAGAAACTCGGCAAGGGCTGCTTTTTTCCCCTGTTTTATTTCATACAGAGTGTCAAGATTGTAAAATGACTTTATATAAATATGAACTCACTTTCCATTACGATATTAGAAAATATAAAAACTAAAGCAGTATTTTCGTCAATCGAATCCAGACCGATAAATATTTTTAATATACATAAAAATAAGCCATATTTAACACCAAGCAGTTTTGTCGTTTAAATATTCATTTACAGTATAACATCTTTTATTAAGTAGACAGTTAAGATAAGTTCTTAATATGGTTTTTAAATCTAGGCAAGGTTAAGTTTAAAATTTCCGTAGGAATTTCGTTATAGTAGTGTTATACCTTGACCCATAAATTCTGATAGAAACTTCTTTAGCCTGCATGACGGCAATACAAGTTTATCTTTGTTTCTAGTATTAAATTGTGTACATAATACTATATTTAATGTAGTTGATAATACTGTTTCTAATATAAAGTTTAGAATTTTATATCAATTGGGAGGCTACTGTTAATATCCCAATTTCTTTGAATTTATGTCCAATTGATGTTCTTGAACCTATTTGATAAATAGCCCTTGCTGCTTTTTTTTTGTAAAATAAATACAGAATCTATATCTACAGCTATACCCCACAGCAGATTACCATATGATATACCGTTATGGAAATAACTAAAGTATACTGTCCAAGCATTATCTACATCTGTGAGCTGCCTATTTTTTCTTATTGCAAAGGCAGCTTAGTTTTCCTGCCAATAATGAAATGGAAGGATGCCATTGCAATTAAGAAGATTGTTGAATCAACCAACTCGAGCTTTTCATCATTAAGTTTAATTTCTGTTAGTTCAGCTTTTACATTAGGTAACATAAACTTTATACATTTAGTTTTTTAGCATTTAACTGGACATAATTTACAGTAAACCAGGTCATAATCTGTTAGAGAGCATTGTTTACATCGTCAAAGTTATTTTTACATCTATCATTATTAAATATTAAAGAAGTGTCACCTGCAAACAACACTATACCGCGCATCGTAAAACTGAGTTGGCGACTCAGCAGATTTTAGTGTGAAAATGAGCTCCATAAAAGCGATACGTTATGTTTTAATGTTAATTTATTACTAAATTATTAATGGTTCCTTCATAAAAATACTCAAACTTTCATTTCATGGAATAATAAACATATTCCTCGATATCAACCCCAGGTGTTCCAGCACCTGACCTCTGCACTGGGTACTGAGTAAAGTATATATGTACAGCTATAATACTTGAACATGCTGTAATATCAAGCTTTAGAAGCTCTTTCACATTTTTATCACGTACGAACTTTGCTTGACTCACATAATTAAAAACCGAATGCTGTAGAGCTGTACTGTGCTATCAAGTCTCTATATGATCAGATCTTATAATGTTTAGGTAATTCATATAATATTCATGGTTAATGCCATAATTAAAATTGTAGGTAATTAATGATATTTTAAAACTGATATTAAAAAAATAAAAAAGTCCTACCACGATAAAAAGTCTTTTTGTGTACAAACTTAAATTTGTCTAATACGATATAATTTTTTTTTCAGATACTACTAAAATGCTGAAGAAACTACACATATTTTTGCTAATACATTTGGTTCTATCAACGGACATAGCTTTTGGTAACTCTAACAATAAAACAAAACTTAGCCAAATATCACAAAATAAATACAACATCAAAAGCCACACAAAAAACGAACGCCCTAAACGGGCTCTGCCAGATGTAGATGATCATCCATTCTGGCCCAATAGAGGCAAGAAGAAACTTTACGGTTATTCAGATTCTGACAAGGAGACTTTCTGGGCGAATAGAGGTAGACGAGACTCTTCCATAGAAAACTATGTAGATTTCGAGGATCCGTATAGTAACCAAAAGGGAGTAATCTGTAAGAACTGCTATCCTGGTGGAAATTTTGATGATGTTAGTAGAAATATCAAGCATACGAGAGAAGATGTATCCCCCTTTTGGGGGATGAGGGGTAGGCGTGACTCCGATGAAAGAGAAGATGATGTTTTTTGGGGCAGCAGGGGTCGACGAGAAGATGACGATCCATTCTGGGGAAACAGGGGTAGACGACAGGACGATGGGCCATTTTGGGGTAATAGAGGAAGACGGGAAGAAGAACCGTTTTGGGGAAATAGAGGCCGACGAGAAGCTACATCTGTTTTGGATAGCCGAGAGAGACGTGAAAACGATGAACCCTTTTGGGGAAACAGGGGCCGAAGGGATGAAACTTTGTTACAAAAAGAAGATGAATCATTTTGGGGGAATCGTGGGAGAAGAAAAGTGACGGATTCGTTCTGGGGCAGTCAAGGTATACGAAAACAGGACTTGAAAGAATCAATACTCAATGCTATAAATGTTGTCGAAAACGATATTCAAAATTTATCACGTCTAAGGGAAAATGAATATGAACATAATTCGCTTTTACCTATTAAACTAAAAGAGAAGCTACTTCGGCGTTTTCTTAACGATCCAATAAGACCAAGATTTCAACAAAGTGTTATAAAAGCAAAAAAAGCCAAATCATCCGACCCAGGTACTTTCATCGACAATAAGATGTATGCGGAGCAACCACATTATATTGTAGTCGAGAGATCCAGTCGATCGTCAGCTGAAGACGATCCGTTCTTTATTTCCCGAGGCAAAAAGTATTATTTAAATTTCGATTTAGTAAAGGCAGCTAGAGACCGTCGCGGGGCTATAGAAGAAATTGTCAAATCTGTTAGAAACGATCCTTATTATATTGCTCGAGGGAAAAAAGACACGGCTCCGTTTAAAAAAGAAAATTCTACATTAAATCGGGAAGAATTGTCTAAAGTAAAAGAACTTATTTGTGCAACCATAGAATTGATTGAAACTAAAAACAATAAGAGTAAAACTAAAAGAGATGTTGATAGTGAGCGAGATAGACGAACGACACTGCAAAAGCTCGCAGCACAATTACAGATGGATCCTTACTTCGTTAGTAGAGGAAAGAAAAACGATGAAAGTACTACCAATGACGTGATCTCTGGCGTCTCCGAGGATAATTTGGAAGATTTCATCAACGAGGTGGCTAGTAAATGTAATTGAAAATGTTTAACCATTTAAGATCATGAGCGAAAATGACTTGAAATATACTTAGAACTTATATGTTGTTCAAATATCATGGGTAAATAATTAATGTAGATAATTGTAAAATTTTTGGAGGGATTAAAATAAAACAAAGACATCAGTGCGACCTTCTTTTATTTCTCGGCAGCTATTATTTATAGGATACATCGCCCAAACACACTATTTTTATTAATTTATGGCTCTTACATTATTTGTGGGGGTAGCCAGGTAACAATTGGATATATTTTTTGAGCAATCACAAAATTTTGTTCCTACTGGGTTTCCACCAGGGAAAAAGAGATAATCGTTGAAAATAAGGTACAAAACTCCAAGTATCTATAACTTCAAATAAATTTACTCGCTAAAACTAAGTACAAAACCCTGCTCCAGAACATGGGATGTTGACTTCTGAAAATTGTTTAATATACTGCATATGTACTTAATATAGCCCCAAATATTTATGATTAATTTTTAAATTAGATTAAAGCATTGTTGACTTAAAGTAAAATAAGATTCGGGGCGGAGAGACAATGCCACTTTTTTAAGATATTATTTTCATAAAACTCTTTGTCGATGTTTGTATACGTGGCATCAGATATTTTTATTGATAGATGTTACTTATTAAGTATCTTATGAATGGTTGTTTCGGTCACTTTCAATAATGGGCTTGTTTAATACAGTCAACATCCTTATTATGCCTCATAGTTATCATCAGTTAACATTTAAATAAGTTTCTCAAATTAAAACATGAGATTGATCAAGATATTTCATAGGGTGACAATGAATAAATGAAATATTTGGTAGATCATAAGTTGCACATGACAATATCACAATGACTTTTATCTCGGGTGACCACGACTCTTTATCTAAATATGAATATATATTTAATAACGGTAAACAATTCCAAAACACTTTACAATATTATTAAAAAAATTGTACGTAGCAGGCCATAAACGGTCGTTCTGCAATTACACTCGATAATACTGTGTGACCTTAATTATAAATAAATCTCAAAAATTTTGATAAAAATTTATTTCACCTTCACGACGTAGGATGATATTAGACATTTCATGTCTCAACTAAATAATTAATAATCTCAAAATATTACTATATTCGTCAACACTTATAATTCGCCTTAATTACCATACATAACGAAGCTGGACTAACATTCACTGTGAAACTTTCAAAGGCAAGCGTCCAGATGCCTCACTTTATATTTGATTGATGTCCGGCGTTTTCGGCGTAAAAGTCTCAAACTCTCCACAGAAGGAGGTGATTGGTCGAATCTTCTCTGCCTGCGTCTTCGCTCGCGCCGGAATTTCGAAAATCTTCGTAGCCGTCGCCACCGGATATGACCAACGTCTCCTTGGTCGGCGGCGGATCGCGTTTGTCCGTTAACGCCGAACGCCGACTCAAAGCTTTAGCCTTCAACGTGGTCTGCGAGGTTTTGGCGGGCGTTCGCGTCGGCACCGGATTCTCCACTATCGTCAGAAACCGCACGTGTCCCGTGTGTCCGTACGGGATACCTGGACGGGAAAATAATAAGTTGTAAATATATTTAAGGTCTTTTTTTTCTTTATTGTTCATTAAACGAGTAATAAACAAGATATACATAAAAACCTATATTTCCATATTTCATTGCATAGGTGAGATAACTTATTAATAAATTATAACATTTCAACACGAAGAAAAATTAAACTTTATTTAAAGTAATAATTAATTAAAATTTATTTGTGTAAAGTAATTGATAATTAATTAAATGGGACTACAAATTGCACATTTCATGAAACATAATATGATAACATTTTTAGTAATTCTTTTTAAATTCTAGTTAAAAATGTAACATCACACAAATTTAGCTGTATTTTTTACAAGATATCTAGTAAAAAGCATATTATTTCCATAGCAGATCTTAGCAACTGGATATGAGAAAGGATTTTCGACAAAGTTGTTCGTGCGGGCGCGCAATATGAAATTTTATGTAAAAGTTCAGGAGCATCGATAAAATTATAAATTAATATATAAAGTAAAGAAACGTTACAACAAAGATCACTGTGTCGTTTAAGGAGTGTTATGTTATGATATTTTACAGATGTTTCATTATAAATATAAGTTCGACCGGTACGAAAATCTTAAGCTTTAATAAATTAATTCTGGACTTTTTCAATTCTTTTGACGTGAGTATCAAAAATAGGATGCCAGATAAATTGTAGTAACTTCGAACTGTTACAAGGGACTCTGAGAATCACTTTTTAAAAAAAAGATTTTAAGCCCTTAACATAATTTATTTAACGAGACCGATTCCGATGGTGGTTGCGCAGCGACTGACTGGCCAACCGTTCTATGCAATGTCGTCACAGCACGATTGCTCAGTCAGCAGATTTGGGCAACCTCCTCAGCACAAACCCTTACATATTATATATATAACAACCCCCCCTTTAAGAGGAAACTTACCCCAAAAGAATGAAATTAAGAAAATGTAAGTTTCCGCGACTATTGTACACGTAATCGAGGAGCAGAAATTGCGACGGGGTTATCTGAGTTTTAATCTATGGATGTGGTAACTTCAGGGTTTCTACTGAGGCGTTTACATAATTTGCATTAAATACAGAAATAGAAAATAATACAAATAACTATAATAATACTAAAAATATTTAAAACAGTAAAAGCGACATGATCATTAATAGATGGATTTTCCAAAACTAGATCTTGAGATATCTGGTTAGTGACTGATTTGTAATCATTTAGACTGTCTAGATTTACACTTTTTATTTTAGAAATAGGAATTTTAGGACTAATTTCCTTAAAACGGTGAAAGTTACAACAACTGTCGTTAATAATGTTAAAATCTGTTATAATGTTAGGGATATTTAACTTTGGATAATCTTTGGTTACAAATTTAATGTTTTTATAGAATGCTACACACTTAGTTGGAATATTCAGTACACCTGTACCAGATATGACATTCTCAGAGACAGCATCGTTACATTCAATGGATAATTTAGTGGGTTTTGACTGAACAAAAATCCATATATTATCATTTAACCTATGCCAAATATCCACATCACCGGCTATGAATTTAAATGCACAAGTTTCAGGAATAGAAGTTAAAGTTTTCGTTATAATTTCAATTTCGCAAGATGGATTATTTAGAACGGCGTAAATGTCGGTGGTTTCACAAAGGTAAGTTTTGGTAAGTATATTTTTACAATTATTTAAATCTTTAAGGTAAGTATATGATAATTTATCTTTCGAAATTGCTAAAAATTGTTCCGCGGGAATTATTAAAGCAAATGAATTTAACTTTCCGTCTGTGTGTGGAGTTGGCAGAGGTATATTCTTATTATATTATACTGTTGCAGACTTACTAAAGGAAGTTTGACAATGAACATTAACCTATTACTTATATAATAACAAGTTAAATCAGCTGTGTTAATTAACATGTGAATATTGCTTAAATCTAAATTTACTGGAAAATCTCTATATTTAGGTAAAATCTTTAAATTGCTTACTAGATCATTATACATTTGACTCGGAGTTAAAATAGAAGGGTGTAATGTATTACTTTTGACCAATAAAATGGAATTTAAAAGATCTTCAATCTTAAAAGAAATGGTAAGCAAATTGGCTTTGTAAAACATTTAAAATATTATTAAATCTAACCTTAAAACTAATTACATTTACAACACTGGATACATTTTTAACGGAAAATGATAAACTGTCTAAAACATCGGATAATTTCGCTTCATTCATGTTCAATTCGTGAATGGATTGGTTTATATTGGAAATAGCAGACTGCGATACCATTATAGCTTTTTTCATTGAGGCACTTAACTTTTCGTCGTTTTTGTAAAGAATTTGAATAGCGTTTTCATAATTTTTAGCGTCGTCCTCGTCTAGTGTACCAAATATATGTTTGAATGCAACACCTATTCCTCCGAACCAGGATCTTTTAGATATGCTATTGGACATTATATGAGAGATGGATTTGAAATCTCGTGTGATATCTACATAAAGAGCTTCTAAAGGTTGTAAGAGGTTCTGACATTGTTCGTGATCTATTTCATTATTTTCACGACATTGAGACTGTCTGCGCCTACACCTGCATCACTAGCGAGGAGGGGGCGCACATCACTACGCCGGACCCGGCTGCCATCGATGCCGGGTGCGGCGCGGCGACACACACACTCAGACGACGCACGCATACGCATTCGGACTACTCGACGCGACATATTCATTATATTGAGATTTTCCTCGAATTACAGTCCATTTAAAGTCTTCGTTTCTTTTATTTTTATCTTCAAATAGTCTCAAACAAATGGTCCTAAACCTATGAGAAAGTCGTCGCGCATCGAGAAAACAAGCACTCGGTCTTCAAAACCTGTCTAACGGAGCACATGGAATCGTCGACGCCATCTTATCGTCCTATCGTCGTGTCCTCTTCAAAGAAAGGGATCAACCGAGTGAGTCCGTTCCATATTCCTTCTAATTTTTCCTAAAGGAATTTAAAATAGATTCAATATTGCTTCATTTCATTAAACCTAAATATCATCAATGTTTTGTTAATAGTATTTTTTTTTTCACTCATAAATAATTACATCGAATTAATTACTATCATCGTCATACATTTTTAATTTTGCGCAATACCTAAACGCCCGCTTGGCGCCAGCGCTTACCAACACGCTTGGGCCTGCTTACGCGTTATCACAGCAGCTCGGCTTTATTTGCGCGTACCCACATTAAGTTATTAATTTCAAAATTTTTAGGTTTATTTTCTTTTTTTTGCACAAATTCATTTTCCTTTTCTTACAATGGCTGAAGAATCGAACATAAAGCGCCTTTTTAAAGGGCGTAGTAGCCTTAAAGCAAAGCTTACGCAATTTATAAATTATTTAAATGTTGCTAAATCATATTCGTCATTAAGCCTTACCCACAAAATAGAACTCGAAACCCGAATGAAATTTATGGATGAAACCTAC